TGGAAGTATTCTCTCCACTCTTTCTGCAGACAGATTCTACCAAGGATGTGGCCCACTTCAAGAGCATCCCTCAGGGTCCTGGTATCATCAAGAGAGATAGCTTCATGCCAACCATTTGTCCCTAATTGAGATTTTAGGAAAGGTGCGCAAATATGATTAAAAGATTTGCTATGATCTAACACAATCACTCAAAGAGCTGTATAGCCTCTTGTTATGTTATTCCTATTACTATTTTGGAAACTAAGGTGTACTTGAGTTTATAACCTCACCTTTTGTACAGATGGCATTTCAGGTAAACCCAACTCACCGCCAGATGTTCTGTCCAGGGGAACGTACTGCATCTTAATTATTATTTAATGTCTCTATGGAACTCTAATGTGATGACTTAATATATAGATTTTTTGAATCCTGCTTTTATATCACTACAATATTTTATAAGGCAAATTTCCAAAAGGAACTCCCTATTCCCTGACTTTTGATTCAAGTCACTTACTGTTTCACAAGTATATCGCCATGGTCTATTCTCGTCGTAACTATATAGTCTCTTGTGCCTGGTTTCAATTAATTCTTATCTCTCTTGAAAGGCCAGCTGTCTTATTTTCTGGGGATTTCGTTCTCAGCCAAGACTTTCAGAGGAATTTGACATTTTTACCTCGGCAACCAAGGAAACAATTCACAAATAGACCCTATGATAAGATCTCTCCTTGAAGAAATTTGGGTATTCAAGAAGATCACAAACTCCAGATTCCAATTTGACCCTTTTCATAGTTTTAAACTTTGGATTAATTGGGATTCTAAGAGTTTCCAGATCTCTACTTCTACGTGTATGCGGATGACACCCAACTCTACCTTTCTGCCTCCACCCTTGACTCCAGGACCACTGCTGTGCTGACAGAATGTCTGTCAGACATCAAGTCCTGGATGAGAGCTAACTTTCGACAGTTGAACGTCAACAAGACCGAGGCTCTCCTGATTGGCTCCCATCAGTGCCTCCTCACCTCAGGCGCTGACAGCATCACCATCCATGGTTGCACACTCCACCTTACTCAGCCAGTCGGAACCTCGGCATCTTGTTTGACCCTCAACTATCCTTTCTAGCCCACATCTGAGCCATGACCTGCTCTGCCTTCCTCCAACTCTGCAACGTTTCCCGACTCTGACACTGTCTCACACCAACAGGCCAACAAGACCCACGTACACGCCTTCATTACATCGAGGCTCAACTATACAAACTCACTGCTTATCGGCCTCCCCACCTCCTCCCTCTACAGGCTGCAGATCATCCAGAACTCTGCAGCCCATGTCCTCTCCCGCACTAGGCTCCGTGACCCTATCATTCCCATTCTTGCCCAACTCCACTGGCTTCTCAACACACAGAGGATTCAGTTCAAGGTCCTGGTTCTCACCTTCAAAGCCCTCTATGGTCTTGCTCCCCCCTACCTCTCCAACCTCCTTACCCCGTACCATCCCATTCGCTCCCTCCGCTCAGCAGGCTCTGGCCTGCTTCACGTCCCCTGCCTTGCTCACCCCACTTTCGGCGGGCGAGCCTTCCGCTACTCTGCACCCACCCTCTGGAACTCCATCCCGCAGTCCCTCTGTCTCGCCCCCTCCCTTGCCACCTTCAAGACCCACCTCAAGACCCTCCTCTTCGACCGTGCTTTCGATCTCCCTGCTTCCCCCCCTGCCCTCCCCTCTCCCCCACCCCGACCCTCAGTTCGGGTTTGAAACTCTGTCTGTTCAGCAGCTTGGGACGTGCTCCCGTCGGGAAAGGCGCTATATAAATATAATGTTGTTGTTGTTGTTGTCTACTGCTGGATTCTGTGTCTTCCTTAAATGTTACTCTCAGTCTGTCAGTGAAGGAGACTCATACCTGAATTTAATAATCCTCGCATTTGATATAGTGCCTTGTGTCTTCTTCGAGACGTCTTAAAGTGCTTCACAGAACAGGGGAATTCTTTGACAGACAACTCCTGGGTAAGTCAGTGAATCATCTGACTGACTCACCCATGAGCATTTTATAAAATGTAGCTATTCTTTTGTCCCAGTTGCCTGTTCTGATGACATCCAGGGCTGCTGGTGCTGCTACCTGGGGTTCCAACTGCTGCCAACAAGGGACAATGTGCTGCTGAGTCACCTTGAGTCAGTGTACAGTCACGGTGCCTCACCCCTCCAATTACCTCAGCGTTCGGGAAAGAAAAAGTGGCAAGCTCGCAGGACCTGACAGAGTATGACTAAGGATCTGAACTCTTACAAGGGTGGGCCCACCTTATAACTGTATTTGACGGGTCACATGTGCAGCTTTACTTCCACAGAGGAAAACCCAGTATGTAGTGCGTTGATGGCTGGGTGGGGTGGGGGGCGCAGGTAAAGCTACTGCTCACTAAAATGCTTTGGCCCCAAATGAGCAGCCCTCAGTAGGGAGTACACTGCTTAGAGGCAACCACTCCTAACAAATGTATATTCCTGGGTCAAAGGGTGAGATGGCAAGGTTAGATTTGGCCTGTCAATGAACCCACTGACTCACGAACACATATATTTGGAAGAAGTGTGGAGCTACTCCCCTGCTGCTGCTGGGAAGAAGCACTGCACTAAAAAGATCTTTCCGGACGGGGTGAGCTCTTAGCAGAAGGCAAAATAGATTTGAGATTGTCGTCTTCATTTCAGCAGCCTGCAAGGCATTCATTCCTGAAGCGGGACACAGTCAAGGTAACCACAAAAGGAAGGAGTGATATAAGGTGAAAACAGATGGCCTTTAAAACGGGTTTGGAAGCCTGCTCGGAGCAAACTAGAACTGCAGCAAAGGCAGGGAGGCAGTGCACATTCCATCAATCTATCTGTAGAATTCCCATGAGTAGGTAAGATGTGTAGGGTGGAAATCTCAGTTTAGCTTGGATACTGTTAAGCATGGTGAAGGGTGTCTGCACGTGTCAGACACCTGGCTGACCAAAACAAATTATTCTTCCTTTTCACTCAGCAGCAAAGTTGTACTGAATTAGTTGATTTTCACAACATCAGCACCCTACATTCCAGACACCTGGAGATACAACAAGTAAGACTTTTTTCTTAGCATTTCAGAATGTGCAAAATTTTGAGAATTTTTAAATTCAAAAAATAACCTAGAATTTTTTCAAGCTAAATTTAAAAATTACTCACAAATTGCACATTGTGAAACGTGCAAATTGTGGGCAATTGTGAGATAATAGCTTAAATCTAGACCCAGGTGCAATTTCTTCTCCCTGGTAATTCTACAAATTCACAGTCACAGTAACATTCTGTGAAATGCTTTAAGAGATGCATCGACAACATGATAAAGTGCTATAACAAATGCAATTATTAATTATTATTATGATTATATATATCTACTTCATTATTTAGCATTCTGACCATTGTCTGCTGACAAGAGTATTGCCTGTACAGGATTTCTTCTAGCAAAATCACTTATGTTGCTCTTTGCTTTTGAACAAGTTATAGTTGTCAGTAGCTCAGCTTTTTGATACTTTCTGTAAAAGTTACTCCCTTGCCTGATTCTTTAATTTCACTTGACCAATTTGTCACACATCTTTCTCTGAGCTTTGCCTTATCGCAATAAAAAGACCAATCCCTAGCTGTATCTCTTATCTGATCCAGTTCTAATATAGTAAGCAATATAAACAGGTAAACTGCAAAGTTGAACTCATTTTTCATTTAAGCAGTGATTTACTCAAAAATGGTGGTAAATTCAATTAGTGTTCAACTGAGCAAAGCTGATAGCACCAGACAGAAGGGTGCATCACTGAGGAATGTGAAGGCCAAGATCACACCACTTAGCTTTTCATTTATATTCCAGAAAGTTTTGTTTGTCAAGTCTGTTTTTCAGAAATGTTCTGGTTTAAAGATAGACAGCTACATATTCCAGATGCTTCTGAATCTTTGAGTTGTGCTACTTTTTCCATATAATGTAGTTTTCACAGCATGTATCCTTAAAACTGGCTACAACAGAAAATTTGTATACCACAGGAGATGATCCACTGAGACCAATAATGGGGTCTAATCTGCAACCTTTCATAATGGGATGGCTTATTAAGAATCCAAGTCGCACAAATGGTAATTAATGTAATAGTACATCACACTGACCAATGGGAACACCACTCTGACACATTCTATTTTAGGAATGGCAGGAATACGTTATTGAGGAATTTCCATGAAGAAATTATGCAAAATAAACCCTTTGAATTAAATCTAAAAACAGGAATGCTGGTCTTGCACTCTCGTCGAAGGAACCTGAAAATTTAATTGGATTAGTACTGAACTTAAAACAAAAAATGCCAATTTCAATGCTGTAATGCATTTGTTTTGGAATGATGGCCAGATATTCAAATGTTTTCAAAGATTGCCTGTTGCATGAAATCAGTTTATTCTGAGCTATAAGGTTCATCAGTTCTTTTTTTAATTTATTGGATTTTGTTTTGAAGAATGGAAAACGGATATTTGCCTTCTTTGAAATTCTCATGTTAGATCATCAGAGAATAGATTTAACTATGTCAACAGAAAAATTGCGGACTAGACCATTCTTATACCAGCACTGCAACTGTAGTCAATAACAATTTTAAGCATGTGCCCATTCCTCCAAAATAAATTTGAGTCAAAAGTAATTGGTTTAGAGTGGAAATGTGAAAGTAAAAGATAATTTTATATATTCTGGAAATGTTCTAATATTTGATTTTTAAATCTACCTTTTTTGGTTTTGTTAGTTAAAATTAAACCTCTGTCTTGAAACTCCCATGCCATCTGACTGTATTTTCTGGTACTTTCTTAGTTGGCTGCAAATCAAGTTGCTTGGACTACCTTCCAGGGTAAGGGATTATTAAAATACTCAAACGCAACATGTTTATGGTAATATGGTGAACTTGGGATCAACTCATACAAACATGAACTGTTAATTACCACTACAGAGGCTTTTTATTTATTGCTCTGACAAACTATACGTATAGCCAGGCATTCAGTCAATCTAGGTATCTTACCTTGCACAATCAAATGGATCTGATATGTCTTAGGCTGGTGTTGAGTCTGCACTGAGCAGGTATAAGGACCTTCGTCGGACACATCCACTTTTTGAATCTGAAGGCTGTATTCCAACCGAGCACTGGTCAACAGAGTGACTCGGGAATCCAGGGACCACTTGTCATTTCCAGCAAAAATAATATTGGATCGGTTCAGCCATGCAACCTTGGAGACACGGTCATCAACATAACACCTGTAACACAGAAAGGTAAAACAAATTAGTATAATTGATATTCTCAACCAGAAATAACTAAAATTAAGAATCTAAATAGAGCAATTAATTCATGTGCTGGTGCCCCCAACCCCCAACATTGCATCGGAGTGTCAGCCTAGATGATATGAGTTCCAAATCCCAACATGGGGTTTGAACTCACAAACTTCTGACTTACTGCCAAGAGTGCAACCAACAGAACTAGTCTGAGGCACAGTCCCTTTTATCCCGAGACTCCTCTTCAACCCTCAGAGGTGACAGCATATTGCTTTTGTGTTTTTCACAAAGGTCTGATGCCTGCATCGCAGTTCCCAGAGTGCTCTGCTACTGTCTCTCACCCTAGGCTGCTGAGATACTCATACGTGCATTCATCACATCCAGACTCGGCTATGCAAACTCCCTGCCTGTCTGCCTCCCAGCTCCTCCCTCCACAGGCTGTAGATAATTAGGAACTCTGCAGCCCATATTCTCTCACACGCCAGGTTCCATGACCCTATCACCCCTATCCTCGCCCAGCTCCACTGACTCCCCATCACTCAGAAGATACAGTTCAAGATCCTGGTCCTTACTCTTAAAGCTCTCCACAGCCTCGCTCCTCCCTTCCTCAGTGATTTCCTAATCCCCTATAAACCTGTTTGCTTCCTCTGGTTAGTAGGCTCTGACCTACTTCACTTCCCCCACCTTGGTGAGTGGGCCTTCAGGCTCTCTACCCCCACCTTCTGGAACTTCATCCAGCAGACCCTCCACCTCGCACCCTCCCTTGCCTCCTTCAAGACCCATTTCAAGACTCTCTTCTTTGACCGTGCCTTTAGTCACCCTCTTACTCTTACCCTCCCCACTCTCCATCCCTCCTGAACCCAACCACCAGCTCAGATGTGGATCCCTGACTGTTCAGCACCTTGGGACGTCCTCCTGACGTGAAAGGCGCGATACAAATGGAATTTGTTGTTGCTAATTCCACCTATATCTCAGATAGATCAGCTGATCTCGGGGCTGGCTATTTCTGGCCCAAAAGCCAAGGTCCAAGATCGCCAGACTATTTGAATTAAGATTTGCTGGTGGAAACTATCACTACTATCAATAAAACACAACATAATTTGCGATCCATTAATCTTTTCGTGCTAGCACTGAACATTACGTGGAACACTCTCCTCTCAGTTGCTGCTCTCACAGATCTAGGTTCATTACCATCTTCAAGCTATTTGTTTCCCAGATAAAATTTGCCAAGGAAGGGTCAAATTTGCACTTTCCCCAACCTGAAAACAACGTTTGACCAATTGAGTCTGTTGCCTTGGGCCTTTGGCTTCCCAAACAGTAAAATGTTGGATATATCGGTTATGAAATATAATAGATTTCATTCTATATAGTACCCAATGGTTAGCAAGAGTTATGGCAAGAATTATAAACTTAGTTATCTACAACAACAACAAATTACATTTGTATGGTGCTTTTCACTTCGCGAGGACATCTCAATGTGCTGGACAGTCAGAGATTTGGACCCGAGCAGGGGAGTGGAGGGCAGGGAGGGTATGGGTAGGAGGGTAGCCGAAGGCATGGTTGAAGAGGAGGGTCTTGAGACGTATCTTGAATCAGGCAAGGGAGGGAGCAAGGCGAAGGGACTGTGGGATGGTGTTCCAAAGGTGGGGTCCAGAGAGGCTGAAGGCCCAACTGTCGATGGTGGATTTGGATTTTGGTTTGACATAGGCACCTATGTGGTTATGGGCTGACTGAGCAGAACAATGCACAGTCACTACACTCTACAATAAATCTTGTGAAACACTTTGAGATGTTCTCCTGATATGAAAGGCACTTTATTGAAAGCAAGGATTATTACGGCTATTATTTCTTGTAGACTTCTCTATTGTGCCCTGTATCGTGAATGAAGGAATTCTAAGTTGCAATAGAACCTTATGTTACTGGACCACTAGAGATCAATGGCATTACCCATCGTCTATGAGTCTTGGTCATTTAATTTAATTTTTCATTCAATTTATTGAACAGCAGCAGAAATCATCACCCTCCATTATAAACAAATGTGTCCACATTCCTCAATTCCTTACATGGATTTGAGCAAGACAAATACAAATACAATGTAAGCCCCACTCCTGAAAAAAATGTTCAAGAATTCTGAATAGGTGCCCATACTAACAGAAACGTGGTAATAAATAACTGGATTCATGGAAAATCAGGCATGTCAAGATACAAGAAAATAAACTGTACTTGCTGACATCAGAGCAGACAAAGTACATCTGCACATAGTTTGAAATTGCTGCAGGATATACTGTAGAACCACTCAAAAATGTCATTTAGCAGAGCCCTACACAATTGTTTTATAGTTAGAACCTGTTTGAAAGAATATTTTATACCATTTCTTTGTAACTGATGGAGTCATAAATAATGCATGGTGAATCAGAGGCCATCATATATAAGAGAATGCCGTGGTGACAAGACTTCTGAATTATAAACGTTTTATGCATCTTATTTTTATAGACCACTATATTATTGTGGCTTTGTATCTAAGAAGTAAATTCAAGCTACCATAATTTGTATTATATTAAGCTTCTCCCAACTGGAAGTGGCAGTACAGGGCATTTAAGACTTGTCACAGTTCTGCTGTGAATGAAATAACACCCACGGTTGTTATTAGTTACGAGTTAAATATTAATGCTTATCATGAGCAATACAGTACGTTGTGAAGCATGAAGGTTCTTTAGCAGCTTTTAGAAGACGTTCCTCTCAGTCATAATTCATCGATTTGAAACATTAGAATTTATTCAACAGCAGGATTGTATCATTTTGAAACAGAATAATTTGGACATTTTTCAACAATGTAACATTAAAAAGTGTGTTTTCTGCCTCTGAGCTAGTAAAACAAGTATTGTACACATTGAAATACATACCCTCTAAAACACTAATGGTACAAAATATGTCATTTTACTTATGGATAATACGTGTTCGAAGGCCCGATGTAATAACAAATAATGAACACAAGACACCATCCAGTATAATGCACTGTAATGTATCTGCAGTGTAATGTATAATGCACCTCAGAATGTGAGCTAGACACTGATTTCTGAATAATTTTTGATGTGTCCTCACAATACAAGTCTTCTAATGTATTCTTTCATGGTTTATTATTTTCTACTTGATCACTAAAACTGAATGCCATACTTATTGCTATGGTATTCCAGCTGAGATTGAAGCAGGACTAATTTTAGTCCTTGAAAAGTATTGAATACAATAAGACACCTTAGACCTTTTCATGAATTATAAGAGACTGCTGCTATAACTGAACTGAAGAACTTTGTAATTCACTTGCAATTGCTTATCTCAATGATGGCAACTGTGACAGGAGCTTTTAGAACTCTCTCCCCTATCCTAACAATCCACTCCTCTCTTTTGCATCCTCTCATCCAATTTACATGTTAGAAAATAAATATAAACCTTACAAAGTGGAAAACAATTCATAATGTCCCTATCATCCCTTTGTAATCCCCCTTTATTAGTTTATATGGAACAGTGAGACAGGCTCAGGAGTTATATCAAATATCATGAGATGTTCAGATGAAGACCCTTTGACCCATTTGATCTCATCTTTTTATAATATCTACCCTTCGCTTATTATAGCATAAAGCTATTTAACAATTTCCATGTATTTTGGCATTTGTTATGAAATTTCGATTCAAAATTAAATATTATTTACAGGCACATGCATCATATTTATCACTAGACAATGACAACAACTTGAATTTGTATAGAACTCTTGATTGTATAGTCAATTCACTTTACAGCACATTCTGTGAAGCGCTTTGGGACGTCTAGAAGACATGAAAAGCGCTATATCAAATGCAAGGATTATTATTATTATTATTATTATTATTCTCCTCCCCATTAACTTCACTGCTATCAGGCCCTCAGACATCTACCCACTACTCTAAAATTAATTGTAACAATGGGTTAAGAGCTAGCACCGACAGGCCACTTTCAGTAACTAATCATAGGCTGGAATTAAACCTTTGCTTGTGGATATGACAATCTTTTGAACACAAGTATACACCGATCTAGAAAAGGCCACATCCACAGGCATTCCACAAAAATCTACAACTCAGTAGGAGGCTACTTGGCCCATTATATTATTGTTGTTGGTTGCTCCTCCAATGAAACTTTCCATCATAATTCCAATTCCCTGCTCTTTCCTGGAACCCTCTAATACTGTTCCTCCACATGTGCCTATCTAATTCCTTTTTAAATGCCCCCAGTTGACACTGCTCCAACAGCTATCCCTGGCAATTTATTCCACATTCTGACAACCCTCTGTGAGAATATTTTTCCTAACTTCACTGCTTCTAGTTATAATTTAAAATTCATGTCTTCCTGCCCTTGTCACTTACCAGTGGAAATACTTCCTCACCAATTATCCCCTCTAACCCTTTATTTTTACTTTATTACCTTAAACACCTCCATCACATCTTTGGCCCAAAATATGCTCTTGCTCACTACGCTAATCTTTCAATATCTGTCTGTAGCATCCTGTACTCTGTCATTATTCATAACAATTCCTAATTTAGTATCATTCTCAAAGTCCATATCGCAATGTCCATATTCACCCACTCTCTGTGAAATCTAATTAAATCTAAACATTTTTCCTTCCCTCTTCTGAGCTCAAGTCCAGAATTTGTTATAGAATTTGTGAGGTCAATGAATCAGAATTAGTTTGGTTTCATGTGCAGCGACACTGAAATGCCAGATTCCATGACAGCAGCAATGGTTGAGAGCCTGAGAGCCAAACTATTGGGCTAAATTGGTCGGTTGGGCACGTGCATCCAAAAGTAGCCAAAAATTAAAGATAATTGTCACATTTATCATCCCTTACTTAAATACTACTGTAGAGAATCCTATTTGAAGGTACGAAAACAATGATGATATCAGATCTCTGTGTGTTTGTGTGTGCATCTTTTCTGTCTATTTGGCTCTCTATCCGT